CCGCGGCGGCACCCATAACTAACGCGGCCTCGTCGACCGATCGAGCGACCAGTGGCGCGATCACTCGAGCGACCGGTCGCGCGATCGGTCGCGCGACCGGTCGTGGACTATGAAAGATGCCAGTAGATTAGAAGGGTGAAAATGTAGTTCAGGGGTGCCCGCGCCCTTTTGTGCTCTGCGTCTCTTCATTTCTTACCCCATCTAATCATCTCACCCATCTCGGAGCTCCTCCCCTTCTAAAAGTTAGGGAGGGAGCTTCGGGGTGGGTGAATCAGTTGGATGTTCAATTCTTACCCCATCCCAGCTTTTTGCACAAGATAATCATCTCTTCCACCCCGGAGCTCCTACCTTAACCTTTAGAAGGGGAGGAGTCCATCTCTGCGACCTCTATGCATTCTGCCGCCGGTGTCAGGGACGCAGAGCACAAAGGGGCGCTGGCACCCCCCAACAACATTTTCACCGATTAGAAGATCATCTGACCCTACTAAACTACTCTACTTCAAGTTTGTACCAAAATAATAGGCGCCAGAGTCGTTCGAATCGCCACGAACTTCGCCGCGCGCGTCCTCAGGTGCACGGAGTGTCACATACCCGCGTCAGGACGTCGACGTTGACGTTGGAACGCTGACGTCGGCGCAAGCAGTCGATCTGTTTCGCAAGTCGACGATGGAGCGGACCAATAAAAGGATGAAACTGAGGACAAGGTTTTTCCCACAATCAGAAGAGAGGTGGTAGGGTTCACATTTTCTAGGAGAGAAGTCTAGTGGAATGAAAAAGGAACATGAAAACAGCGAATAAAGACAGAGAAAGATGTATGATTGAATGACCTTTAATGATGCCTCATCGTCTCGGTCTGAACACACTACTTCGCAACGTTTTAATGGTGACGCCGATATTGCCGTCAAGATGCCAACGCCTATGTCATAATATAAATGTTCCAGGTTGACACATTACTCCCAGACGGATACTGCATTTACATGGAACATACAATCACACGTTTTCGTTTTTTCTCAAAGAGATCATTCTTTTTATTCCTGCTTTAACTGACACGGGAAGCGTGAGACTTCCTCTCTACTCCAATAGCATGGAACATGCACATGCACCATATCCTGCTCCTGTAGTATTTATACTATTATGGTGTTCTTACAGTTTTTTCATGTTTTCAAGTAACAGCTAAGCTCACAGCCTTCTAGAGAAACTTGAGGCATTGGCGCCAATTTGGCGCCAAGGGTGTTTCTACCAAATTTGCTGAAAACTCGCGTTTAGGGGTTATTTGAGGTCGTGATAACGAATATATTATCCATTTTACGCGCTGAGGCTATTTGGCGCGACGACAGGGCATACAGGTTGTGGGGGAGACGATGTGGCTCAATAAAAGTTTTATTCGTTGTTCGAAGACACAGAAATGGATGTTATATTCGTTATCAGGACCTCAACTAACCCCTGAATGCAAGTTTTCAGCAAATTTGGTGAAAACACCCTTGGCGCGAAATGGCGCCAGCGCCAAAAATGGAGGTCATATTCGTTATCAGGGCATCGGATTACCCCTGTAGGCGAAGTTTCATCGAAAATAAAAATTTTGAATTTTTGGGGTTGTAATAGTGGAATAGTACCCGAAAAGTTTTCGTATTGGTGCAAACTGTAGACCACAAACAAGATCCTCATAGCGATCCCGGGCTTATGGAAGCGATGATTCAAATAAGAGAAACGCTTTTACCTTCGGAATGCGTTTCGACAAAATTTTGGACACGGTGGAACCTTGACAACCTTATCGCCCTCAGAGACACCCAGGCAAGTAGAAAAAGACAAGAAAGATGCCGCAGCCATTACCACTAATCGGTGACTTCGTGCCCACACAACAGAAGTTGATTTCTCGAGGGAACTGGGTGAGTTGAGGGCAGGAGTGGACGTATGGTAAAGGAGTTAATGTCAAATCAGCACACGATGCAGCAACTACTATACAAACGGTATCAATTAGGGGTATGGGTACATTCACACAGAACTGGATGGACGCGGCAAATCGCGCGGCGACATTCGTGGCGGGTTAAACGACTTTAGCGCCTATCATTGGGGCCCAAATTTGAAGTAGAGTCGATTACTACGACCATCTGTCCATACTAATGTACTCTACTCCAAGTTTGCGCCTCAGTGATAGGCGCCAAACTCGTCCTAAACCCCACGAATCTCGCCGCGCCATTTGCCGCGTCCATCCAGTTCTGGGTGAATGTTCCGTCCTCCATCAATTAGATATGGGGAGTCTTCCTGCAGTTACAATCAGAATATTGATGAAAGAAGTACGGAAGAGACTCAAACTACAACTAGCAGAAAGGCCCTGGAGCAAAGAGTTAATACATCAGCGTAAAAAGGTATAAGACGGTTGGAACAGAGCTTTAATGAACTGGAAGTAAGAAATCACTCGGCCTGCGGGCCAAGCTGGAAGATCTTGCAGCAATTCTGCTTTAGCGATGCTGCTGGTTATCGTTTGCCCAACACATTCAGCTTTTACGAACCAGAATGTAAAAGGACACATTAAAAAGCCTAATGGCACTGTCAAGTTTTTATCTTCATATGGTAAAGACTATTCTAGGTTCGACTCGAAAA